AAATCATATTGTTAAAAACCCTTCTTTCCTTTTGACTTTCAAGTGTATAAGGTCGACTTTTGGCTGTCGTTATATCAATTATTGCATCATTCTTTGATTAATCTTTTTCTGATTAATGAGTTTAGATATCAAACACTGAACCGGATGACATTTTTAAATTTTTTCTAAGTTAACCACGTTAAGTGGAGTGCATGTTTTTTCACTCTTGCGACACGAGATTTCCGTCAAAACACTCCTTCTATATGTGTTTCGTAGATGGGTAGGTATTGTAAACGCTATATCAAAGACATATTTCCAATTGCATTTATGTAGTGTATTTTTAGACTTTTTTAATTTTTAATTTTTTTTTATTTTTATTATTATTATTTTTTTATTATTATTATTTTTTTTTGGTGGTACATATGTACACATCTTGGTTCTCGTTCATTGATTATAGATGTTGTTTTCTTTTTCCATGTCTTCACTTTTGTCACTGCAGCATACGGTGATAAGGATTAGAAATGTGCATTGTATAAAGATGAGAATAAGTTGCCATTTGGTAAAAGAAAGCTAATTTAATTACTACTTTGCGTTGGCTGATGATGTTGCTCAAATGTACACAATTACTTTTTAAAAAAATATTTCGTTTCGTGATAATTGGAAAACTAAATTGGTCAAAGTCATACCATGTAGTGTAATTGTGAATCTAATATGCTGCAGAAAGAACGGGTTGATAATCCTTCAAGGTTTTCGCTTTATTCATGTGATTAATATCTCGACTCATTTTTTTTTCCTTAAAGCCATCAGTTTATCATAAACAGTTTTTTCTTAGCGAAACAATTAACGACGTAGACGATTTGCTTCCCGTTCCCAGCAGGACTTAACAACCCTTCCGTGAAGACAAAAACAACTCGAAGGGTCTTATCTATTTTWCGATCGTGTAAACAAATTAAGAACCATGATAGAATATGATACCGACTCTCAGAAAACCTGTACGTCTCTTGTTGCTTTTCCTGACGATTTTCTTCTCTTTTCCTTTTTCCTTCTTTTTATAAATCATTGYCTATTTATTTATTTATCTATTATTTTTTACTTTCTCTCTCTTGTTCTTTTATCTTTATTAGAAKTCGTCGTGGAAAGTACAGTTGAGTCCACGTAGCATTTTAGTTGTATGTTTTTTTTTATGTTTGCGGGGAAGGGTATTTGTATAATTTTACCGTATGTTTGGTACGGGCTCATCTATGCTGTTTCAAGCTATCAATGTTTAAAACTGACTTTTTTATTGTAAGGAAAATCTTTATGAATTAAGTGYTGTTGGGCGGTTTATCT